AATTGGGAAGAGACTGAGTCTATTAGAAAATGCCATGAACTCAGGAGGAGACTAAAATGAGAAAGATAACCAAAAGTGCAATAAAGCTTTACTATAATGCACACTTGAATTTTTAAAAATATTGTTTGTAATAAATGCTGTATTTTTGGTCAACTCAAAGTTTATGAACCTTACAGGAGAGTTTTGATTAGTAGATTATCAATTACAAATAGGCTTATTTTTCTACAGAGATAAAAACTTAGACAATTTTGTAAAAGAGGAGAAAGTTGAATGGATCAATCTAGTGTAATGTTTGGAAGAATGCATCAAGATTGGTTAATCAAAATACACATGCAAAGTCGGTGAATCCAGGCCGATACAGATCACCAAGATTTTGTAAAGGAACTGACAAAATAAGGACAGGGAAACTACAGAATGTTAATATTTTGCAGCTGAAAAAGTGAAGGTCCCTAAAACACTAATAACCACATAGACAAGGTTTCAGTAATGGTGGGACTGCACATGTCCCATTTCTATTTGACCTGGCAATATGGCCCTCACCATCTGATTATAAATTATGAGAGAAAACAGTACAGTCAGCTCTCAGCGCCAGGGATTCAACAAACCTCTGATTGAAAATATTCAGGGAAAAAAATCCCAGTAAGTTCCAAGAAGCAAAACTTAAGTTTGCTGATTGCAGACAACTATTTACATAACACATTGTATGTGGTTTTATAAGTAATCTAGAGATAATTTAAAGTATAAAGGAGGATGTGCCTAGGTTATATGCAAATACTGTGCAATTTTATATATACAGGACTTAAGCATCCATGGATTTTGAGGTGCTTGGGGGTCCTAGAACTAACTAGTCCACATGGGATACCGAGGGACAACTGTAAATTGTAATTGGAAGTAAAACCAAACTTTTTCCAGCTGCTCTGCCTCGAGGAGGAGTTGGGAGGAAGACTCAGTGCAGCAGAGTGTAAGGTCACAAGAGACTGAATCTGTGCAGGAACTTTGAATACTGCAGACCATGTGGTTTCTCTGCAAGGTGTGCTTGCAGCCAGCTTAGATAATATCAAGTGATTGCACCTGTGTATTCGTTGCACTTGTTCTACCTACCATCTAACTGCTTGTCAGGATTGATGCGCTCTAAAGAGGCTTGGAATTATAGCAGCTGTAGCAGCCCACAGCTTAGCCCATCCTCTGCTGTTCTGTTGACTAGGAGGATTGAGACCAGAGGTGGGCTAATGGGACTTTTCGGCAAAGTTAATAAGCTAAGCCACAGTAGGACACCAGATGTCGCAGAAATACATCTTCATTGACAGGCTAGAACAGCTTTTGATTATCTCCAATGGCAAATGCTGAAGAGTAAGAGAGGTACTGAAATTTGATGACAAAAACAGCACTAATAAAATTATGACTGCAGGATAAAAGTTGAGGCATTTAAGATAAAGATACATCATGTTAGCCCTTAAACAAACATGTTTACTGTAGGTCAAAAAATCCAAAAGATGTTTTGAACTTAGATATTTGGACTTAACAAATAAATGAGATTCAAAGTCACTTCTTTTTGTTATTAACCAACTCTTTCCTCCAAGTTATATACTGAAAAGCCAGAATAGCTCATAAAATTACTTAAATGAATAATGGAAATTATACTTGTCTGTTGCCTGGAATGCAGTCTAACCACATTGTAAGTAATTTCCCTGTGGTTCACTTTCTGCTAGAACAGAGAGCTACATGTCATGTGTTTTAGAAATGCCAGAAGTGTTTTCTGTCAGAATGTTCATAGAAGATTTGAGGTTTTCAGAACAGAACTGAAAGTATTGTGAGCTTGTTTAGTATATAGGGCTTTTGTGTTATTTTTTTTTAAACTGTACAATGCATAGTGTATGTGTACTATATTTTAACATTAAAATTTAAATCATACATTTTGTATTATGTATGTATACTGTATATTATATACAAGGATGTCCATCGACTCTCACCACTCCAGCCACAGGTATCAGAGAAGAAAAAAATTAAAGGAATCCAAATTGGAAAGGAAGAAGTAAAGCTGTCACTGTTTGCAGTTGGCATGATATTATACACAGAGAATCCTAAAGATGCTACCAGAAAACTACTCGAGCTCATCAATGAGTTCAGTAAAGCTGCAGGATACAAAATTAATATTTTAAAATCTGCTGCATTTCCATACACTAACAATAGACCATCAGAAACAGAAGTTAAAGAAACAATCCCATTTACCATTGCATCAAAAAGAATAAAATACCTAGGAATAAACCTACCTATGGAAGTAAAAGACCTGTACTTGGAAAACTATAAGACACTAATGAAAGAAATTGAACACACAGACAAATGGAGAGATATACCATATTCTTGGATTGGAAGAATTAATATTATTAAAATGATCATACTACTCAAGGCAACACACAGATTCAACATAATCCCTATCAAAATAGCAATGGAATATTTTTTCACAGAACTAGAACAAATAATTTAAAACATATGGAAACACAAAAGACCCCAAATGGCCACAACACTCCTGAGAAAGAAGAACAAACAGGAGGAATCATGCTATCTGGCTTCAGACTATACTACAAAGCTATAATAACCAAAACTGTATGGTCCTGGCACAAAACCAGACACATAGGTCAATGGAACACATAGGTCAGTGGAACAGAATAGAGAGCCTAGAAATAAACCCACACACTTAAGGTTAACTAATCTATGACAAAGGAGGCAAGAATATACAGTGGAGAAAAGATAGTCTCTTCAATAAGTGCTAGGAAAACTGGACAGCCACTTATATAAGAATGAAATTAGTGTTCTCTAACACCATGTATAAAAATAAACTCAAAATGGATTAGATACCCAAATGCACTCTTGCAAGAGTGCATTTGGGTATCTATGCACTATAAAATTCCTAGAGGAAAACATAGGCAGAACATGCTGACATAATTTACAGCAATAGTTTTTTGAATCCATCTCCTAAAGCAAAGGGAAGAAAAGCAAAAATAAACAAATGGGACCTAATTAAACTTAAAAGCTTTTGCAAAGCAAAGGAAACTATTGATAAAAGGAAAATACAACCTACTGAATGGGAAAAGATACTTGTAGATGATGTGACTGATAAGCGGTAATATCCAACATATATAAATAGTTCATGAAGTTTAACATTTAAAAAGCCAACAATCTGATTTTAAAAATTGGCAGAAGAACTGAACAGACATTTTCCTAGAGAGGAAATGTGGATTGCCTTCAGGCACATGAAAAGATGTTCATCGTTGCTAATCATCAGGGAAATACAAATTAAAACAACAATGAGATATCACCTCATACCTGTCAGGATGGCTGTCATCAAAAAGAACACAAATAGTGTTGCTGAGGGTGTGGAGAAATAGGAACCCTCCTACACAGTTGGGAGTGTAAACTGGTGCAGCCACTGTGGAAAACAGTATAGCAATTTCTCAAAAACTAAAAATAGAACTACCATATGACCCAGCAATTAAACTCCTGAGTATACATCCAAAAAGCAAAAAACACGAATTTAAAAAGATGCCTGTACCTCAGTGTTGATAGCAGCATTATTTACAGTTGCCAAGATATGGAAGCAACCTAAGTGTCCATCAATTGATGAATGGATAAAAGAGATGTGTTACATAATGGAATACTATTTGGCCATTAAAAAAGAATGAAAATTTTGCCATTTGCAGCAATAGGGATGGACTTGGAGGGCATTTGGCTAAGTGAAATAAGTCAGACAGAGAAAGACAAATACTGTTCTTATCACTTATATGTGAAATCTAAAAAAATATAACAAACTAGTGGATAAAACAAGAAAGAACCAGATTCACAGATATAGGGGGCAAACTAGTGGTTACCAGTGGGGAGAAGGAAAGGGGAGGGGCAACATAAGGTTTACAGATTGAAAAGGAGTTACTATGGGATTATATGATACCATAAGTCATAAATCACTGTAGAATTTAAAGATCTTTTCATTTAACTTTAAAAAAAAGGAAAACCAGACATCTCAAGTTAACAAATTTAGTACTTTACTATGTATGGGAAGATGGAAGAACCTGGGCTCATCAACATCATTCCTTTGCTCTGCACCTTAACTAGTAAAAAAAAATTTTCAAGTAAATTGTGCATTATGTATATATGCTATATTTTATCATTTGAAATTTTAAAGTAAGCTGGGAAAATATTTGTAAGAGTTTTGAATAAGGGTTGTTTGAAAAATTTAAACATTGAATGATATTTGAATAAGAATTGTTTACTTTTGAAAGAGCTCTTTTTTAAAAATGCAAAAACAGATAAATCCAGAGACAAAATGAAAAGTTTTTGTCTTTAGTCTCATAAGTTAATTCTGGAAATGGCAACCCACTCCAGTACCCTTGCCTGGAGAATCCCATGGACAGAGGAGCCTTGAAGGCTACAGTCCATGGGGTCCCAAAGTCAGACATGACTGAGTTACTTTCACTTTCACATCCTAAGGGAAAAAATCATATATTCATATAAATATTTAAACACATGGATGGGATCCTTGAGTTGTATGGAGGGTAGGAAATGATTACTGGACATTCAGTATCAGGCACAATGTACAGTTATATGGCACTTGTCTCTGCCTAAAGATGATTTTTAAAATGTACTAGAAACAAGTGGGTGGTTGTGGGGGTTTGGGGTGGAATGAAGAAAGGGAGCAATATTAGTGAAATTAATGAAGGTGATTAAGAGGTACAGATCTCCAGTTATACAATAAGTATTGAGGATGCAATATACAGCACAAGGAATATGATCAATAATATTGTAATAACTTTGTATGGGGACAGATGGTTACTAAACTTATTGTGGTGTTTGTTTCATACTGTTTGCAAATGTCAAATTATGTAGCACACCCAAGACTACCATACTACTGTACATCAACTATATTTCATTTTTAAACATTTTTTTAATGAATAAATAATGCACTGGAGAATCACACATCAGTCACTTTTCAAAGACTTCTTTTCCAGAAAAGAGAACCCATGCAAAAACCATCCAAAATCAGAATGGCTATCGCTTTAGCCAAGATCAACCGAGGAACATTAATTCAAGGATTAAACAGCATTTCCAGATCCTCCAAATCAGTTGCCAAGCTTCTGCAACCTCAGCTTGCTTGCCGACTTTTAGAGTTAAGGGCCATATCTCATCGTTTGCTCAAGGAAGTTAATGCACCAAGGCAACCCCTGTATAACATACAGGTAAGTGAACATTGCATTTGCTCAGGATGTGGGTCTTTTTGTAGGAAATATTCTGAAATTGCACAGTATGAAAAATGAAAATGTAGCACATTTGACTATCCTAGATGTAAAACAGTTGGCTAAGAGAAATGAATGTATGGGCCTTTTTTCAGTGTAGTATATTCTCTGGTTTAAATAAATCTGAAATAGGAAGTAATGCAGACTTTTTTCTCCCTTGTTATTTGATTGAACTAAATGAAACTTTTGATTTCAAATGGTTCAACCTAAATCAGTTCAGTTCATTTCAGTCGCTCGGTCGTGTCCGACTCTTTGTGACCCCATGGACCACAGCACACCAGGCCTCCCTGTCCATCACCAACTCCTGGAGTTTACTCAAACTCATGTCCATTGTGGGCTGCCGTCTATGGGGTCGCACGGAGTCAGACATGACTGAAGCCACTTAGCAGCAGCAGCAGCATGTCCATTGAGTCGGTGATGCCATCCAACCATCTCATCCTCTGTCGTCCCCTATAAGCATGCAAATTACCACTTATGTCAAACCTAAAAGAAATTCTACAACAAGCCTTAAAAATGACTGTGCCTTGTGTCCTTGTCCCTATAACTTTGTTATATCTCCAATATAATCTTGGTTTGATATAATGAGTATATTTAGCTATAAATTCATTTTGATAGACGTGTCATTGTTCAGGTCTGTTTCAAATTCCATGTTCTGTGTTGTTTTATTGAGGCTCTATTATATTAAGGCGGAGAAGGCAATGGCACCCCACTCCAGTACTCTTGCCTGGAAAATCCCATGGACGGAGGAGCCTGGTAGGCTGCAGTACATGGGGTTGCGAAGAGTCAGACATGACTGAGCGACTTCACTTTCACTTTTCACTTTGATGCATTGGAGAAGGAAATGGCAACCCACTCCAGTGTTCTTGCCTGGAGAATCCCAGGGATGGGGTTGCACAGAGTCAGACATGACTGAAGTGACTTAGCAGCAGTATTATATTAAGGACAAAAAAGCTCTAAGTTTTTCTAGACCAGCTTCTTTTTTTCTAAACTTTATGGCACACAACTCTGAGTTTTTCAATCTGGGCATTATTCAAAACATTCCTTTGTTAAAATGCGAGTTAAGCCAGAAAGGGTATGTATTAGTTCTTGTAGTCAAACAACCCAGAGTTGAGAAGCTTTCAGGCATAGCTGGATATAGTACACAATACCTTCAGGATCCTCTTTCTTTCTTTGACTCATCTCTTGGTTCAGGTCTCTCTATGTTGACTCCATTCTTAGACTGACTTTCTCCTCATGGTCACAAGATGATTTGCAGTTGTTCTCAGGGGCTACATCCTTCCAGGTACAATTACAGCAGAAAAGAATAAGAGTCCTTGATCCAACATTCCTGGCTAAGTCCTGAGGTGCACTTTTAGAGACTGACTTTCCTCTAAACCAGAGAAATGGGGTGCATTGACTGGTCTAGGAATTGACTACTGTGTCATTCCTAGAGTAGGGGTTGCGGCCCCATTCAGACAATGCCACTTACGGATGGGGAAAGAATGAACCCTCAAACAAAAATGCGTTGTTTTAAGCTAAAAGCTGGTTTTTTGAAAAAATAAACAAAATTGACAAACCATTAGCAAGACTCATTAAGAAACAAAGGGAGAAGAACCAAATTAACAAAATTAGAAACGAAAATGGAGAGATCACAACAGACAACACCGAAATACAGAGGATCATAAGAGACTACTACCAGCAGCTCTATGCCAATAAAATGGACAACTTGGAAGAAATGGACAAGTTCTTAGAGAAGTATAACTTTCCAAAACTGAACCAGGAAGAAATAGAAGATCTTAACAAAACCATCACAAGCAAGGAAATCGAAACTGTAATCAGAAATCTTCCAGCAAACAAAAGCCCAGGACCAGATGGCTTCACAGCTGAATTCTACCAAAAATTTAGAGAAGAGCTAACACCTATCTTACTCAAACTCTTCCAGAAAATTGCAGAAGAAGGTAAACTTCCAAACTCATTCTATGAGGCCACCATCACCCTAATTCCAAAACCAGACAAAGATGCCACAAAAAAAGAAAACTACAGGCCAATATCACTGATGAACATAGATGCAAAAATCCTTAACAAAATTCTAGCAAACAGAATCCAACAACATATTAAAAAAATCATACATCATGACCAAGTGGGCTTTATCCCAGGAATGCAAGGATTCTTTAATATCCGCAAATCAATCAATGTAATACACCACATTAACAAATTGAAAGATAAAAACCATATGATTATCTCAATAGATGCAGAAAAAGCCTTTGACAAAATTCAACATCGATTTATGATTAAAACTCTCCAGAAAGCAGGAATAGAAGGAACATACCTCAACATAATAAAAGCTATATATGACAAACCCACAGCAAGCATCACTCTCAATGGTGAAAAATTGAAAGCATTTCTCCTGAAATCAGGAACAAGACAAGGGTGCCCACTCTCACCACTACTATTCAACATAGTTTTGGAAGTTTTGGCCACAGCAATCAGAGCAGAAAAAGAAATAAAAGGAATCCAGATAGGAAAAGAAGAAGTGAAACTCTTGCTGTTTGCAGATGACATGATCCTCTACATAGAAAATCCTAAAGACTCTACCAGAAAATTACTAGAGCTAATCAACGAATACAGTAAAGTTGCAGGATATAAAATTAACACACAAAAATCTCTTGCATTCCTATACACTAACAATGATAAAACAGAAAGAGAAATTAAGGAAACAATACCATTCACCATTGCAACAAAAAGAATAAAATACTTAGGAGTATATCTACCTAAAGAAACAAAAGACCTATACATAGAAAACTATAAAACACTGATGAAAGAAATCAAAGAGGACACAAACAGATGGAGAAATATACCGTGTTCATGGATTGGAAGAATCAATATTGTCAAAATGGCTATACTACCCAAAGCAATCTACAGATTCAATGCAATCCCTATCAAACTACCAACGGTATTTTTCACAGAACTAGAACGAATAATTTCACAATTTGTATGGAAATACAAAAAACCTCGAATAGCCAAAGTAATCCTGAGAAAGAAGAATGGAACTGGAGGAATCAATCTGCCTGACTTCAGACTATACTACAAAGCCACAGTCATCAAGACAGTATGGTACTGGCACAAAGACAGAAATATAGATCAGTGGAACAGAATAGAAAGCCCAGAGATAAATCCACAAACCTATGGTCACCTTATCTTTGACAAAGGAGGCAAGGATATACAATGGAAAAAAGACAACCTCTTTAACAAGTGGTGCTGGGAAAACTGGTCAACCACCTGTAAAAGAATGAAACTAGAACACTTTCTAACACCATACACAAAAATAAACTCAAAATGGATTAAAGATCTAAATATAAGACCAGAAACTATAAAACTCCTAGAGGAGAACATAGGCAAAACACTCTCCGACATAAATCACAGCAGGATCCTCTATGACCCACATCCCAGAATTTTAGAAATAAAAGCAAAAATAAACAAATGGGACCTAATGAAACTTAAAAGCTTTTGCACAACAAAGGAAACTATAAGCAAGGTGAAAAGACAGCCCTCAGATTGGGAGAAAATAATAGCAAACGAAGCAACAGACAAAGGATTAATCTCAAAAATATACAAGCAACTCCTCCAGCTCAACTCCAGAAAAATAAATGACCCAATCAAAAAATGGGCCAAAGAACTGAACAGACATTTCTCCAAGGAAGACATACAGATGGCTAACAAACACATGAAAAGATGCTCAACATCACTCATTATCAGAGAAATGCAAATCAAAACCACAATGAGGTACCATTACACACCAGTCAGGATGGCTGCTATCCAAAAGTCTACAAGCAATAAATGCTGGAGAGGGTGTGGAGAAAAGGGAACCCTCTTACACTGTTGGTGGGAATGCAAATTAGTACAGCCACTATGGAAAACAGTGTGGAGATTTCTTAAAAAGCTGGAAATAGAACTGCCATATGACCCAGCAATCCCACTTCTGGGCATACACACCGAGGAAACCAGATCTGAAAGAGACACGTGCACCCCAATGTTCATCGCAGCACTGTTTATAATAGCCAGGACATGGAAGCAACCTAGATGCCCATCAGCAGACGAATGGATGAGGAAGCTGTGGTACATATACACCATGGAATATTACTCAGCCATTAAAAAGAATTCATTTGAATCAGTTCTAATGAGATGGATGAAACTGGAGCCCATTATACAGAGCAAAGTAAGCCAGAAAGATAAAGACCATTACAGTATACTAACACATATATATGGAATTTAGAAAGATGGTAACGATAACCCTATATGCAAAACAGAAAAAGAGACTCCGATGTATAGAACAGACTTGTGGACTCTGGGAGAAGGTGAGGGTGGGATGTTTCAAGAGAACAGCATCGAAACACGTATATTATCTAGGGTGAAACAGATCACCAGCCCAGGTTGGGTGCATGAGACAAGTGCTCGGGCCTGGTGCACTGGGAAGACCCAGAGGGATGGGGTGGAGAGGGAGGTGGGAGGGGGGACCGGGATGGGGAATACATGTAAATCCATGGCTAATTCATTTCAATGTATGACAAAAACCACTGCAATGATGTAAAGTAATTAGCCTCCAACTAATAAAAATAAATGAAAATAAATAAATAAATTTTAAAAAATGCGTTGTTTTGAGATGAGAAAATGGATGATGAGTGGCTAAAATAAACAAAATATTATATAGGAATCTCTCTTTAATCAAAGATTTTTGACATTTCCAGAAAGCATCAGCTATTTCAACTAGGAATTGCCTGAAACAGCATTTATAAAAGGCTCCTTTATAATATCAGAAGTTTGAGAAAGTAAAAAATGATTTCTGTTTTGTTGACCATCAGATTTCTAAGCACTATAAGGCTTATTCCTGTGTCTTTAGATCCTCGGAAAAAAACATAGCTGAACTGTATTAAATTCCCACTGAAATATCTTTCTGAATCTAATGT